CAGGAATGCTGAACACTAAGAGCTGTCTCATAAATACTACAGACAGCTTTAGTTTCCTCAAAAGAAAATTAAGTGGAGTTTGGTCCTTGAAGAACTTAATGTGACCTCAGCAGTAAAATGTAAAGCCTGTTCCTTTGGCTTATACAAGCCAATGATCTAATGATGATCAAGTTCTCTTCCATGCTGTCTGGGAAAACAGTGCTTGTTTTTAAATCCTAGAGCAAGAGAAAAATAAGTACATTTGAAAGATAGAAAAAAATTATTTCTTTCTTCCTTGCAGTTTCAAAGACTTCTCTGCAGCCTTCCTCTGTATTTTTGACTTGTCAGAATACATCCACAGAACTCCGAGTCCAGTAGACCATTTAAACTAGCAGAAACATCAGTTTTAAGCAAAAACAATGGCTCTGTTTTATATCCTGTGACTGTTTATCAAGGCATTCCGCTGAGTCTTTTAAAATCCTGATTATTGTTTTTTTTCTTTCTACCAGCAGTCTCAGTCCTGGGGGCAGCTTCAGGGGAGGCAGCAAGGGAGAGGGAGGGGGAAGCCTTCTAAAGTGCTTTGTCCAGTTACTGTTTTTCCATTGTGTACTTAATGAAGTACTGGAGATTGTGCTTAGGTGAGATGGTATAATGGTTTGCTGTTGTTCCTATGTACAAACATGATCTGTGTTTCTTTACTGTAACAGGACGGCCTGTCTACTGCTGCTTTTTCATTGATTCTAGCACTTGGTATCTGCTTGAGTCTCTGAAGCCTGCAACTATCAAAAGTGATGGATGTAAAGGCTTTTGGATGTAAAGGTTCAAACATGACAGTTAAATGTTGTTTAAAAAAATATCCCACTCCTACTCAAGATGCGGACTTTTTTTAATGACGTGTATTCTCTCCATACATTGAAGTCTTGTGTTACTTCAGTCACAGCATTAAATAAAATGCCTTCAATTTTTTTGCTTTTTCTCTTCCTGCTTTCTTTGCAGTGTACATATATTGAGATTGAGCAGGTGCCGAAGACTCATGCTGTTGTGCTGAGCAGGCCCTCCTGGCTTTGGGGTGCGGAAATGGGAGCTAACGAACATGGAGTCTGTGTAGCTAATGAAGCCGTTGTGACCAGAGAGCCAGCTTCTGAATCTGAAGCCTTGCTTGGAATGGATCTTGTCAGGTGGGTGGCTTGCTGAGCTGTGACCAGCCTTTTAAACACCAAAGGTTTAAATGATGATGATACTGGGTAACAGTTTTGTGGTGTTGGCATCAGGAGATTTTAAACAATATAAGCAGGAGACCCATCTAGGCAGAGCTCCAGACACAGCTGCGTTAACAAGTAAAACACTTGGAATTTGAATCAGGCTACCAAGCATGTACGAGTCTAATGTGGGTTCACTAAACCTGCCTTGTCTACCTACTTTACAGTCTAGCAGTGGCTATTCTGACAGGTAAGAGAAATTATTACATCGTTAGTAGGGAACTGCTAACTAATTTGTAACATCAGATTGCTGGTGTGCCCTTCATTCTCCCCCACTTTACACCAGCCTACTCTGACCTAAAAAGCTTATCCTGGGCTTATAGCCAACTGTAGGCATAAACAAACTACTATGCCTCACTTCAGCCCATGCATTCCAATGCAAAATGTTGCCTGTGTATAAATGCTGGCAAACAAACTCCTGTGAGTCTGTTCATTGAAGGCTGTCTGCCTAAAAGGCTTGTGCTGCACTGTAAGTCTCAACCTACATGATGATCTTGTAGTGAAGAGAATTTAAAGGAGAGTTGGGTGGTGGAAGAAAGCTGAAAATGAAAGAACAAGAGGAAGTGATGCAGACTTACAAAGAGAAAGGGAATAAATGGGCTGAATTTAGTTTAGAGATAGAACAGGACAATAACAGTTTATTTAAGTGTATCAATGTCAGTCCTCGTTGTCCCGCTGGAATTTGCCCTAGGATATTTAATGAGCAGGCTGAACTAATTTCAGGCAAATTCTCATTCTTCTTGAGAATTAGTGAAAGATGGGAGAGGTTCTGGATGACTGGAAAAGGTTAAAAGTTGTGGCTATGCTAAGTAGTGTTAAAAAGAGTTGTCATTGTAGACCTGCTTAACCTCAGTTCCTGAAGGGGAAAAAACCCACTTAAATATAAAGGAGATGATAAATGTTTCATAATGACTGTTAGTTAAGAAAAATCCTGTCAAACCATTCTACTTTACTCCTGTAATAAGTTAGCAAATTTTATAGATAGAGGATAGGAAATACATACCTTGACTTTTAAGAGAGCATTAAAACCTTAGAAGGTATTCTCATAAGCAAGCTGGGAAGCGAATTGGAAGAAATGGTTGTTAGGTGTATAGCTACCTGAAACTGTAATTGCAAGTGTTCTCTGACTCTAATGATATATCTGCAGAAATACAGTATCTGGTTCCAGCTACCATAAACTAAGAAGAATAAGAACCAGTTGTAGAGAATGCGATGGAAATGGGAAATATGATCAGAGATCGGTAGAATCTGACCAGTGAGAAAATCATGAGGGAATTGGGTTTATGTTTCTCCTTCGTACTTTCTCTAAACTCTGTATTAATGAAGGAATCTGTGGAGAAGCTGTACCTGGGAGGACTAGTGAGTTTTATTGCATGAAGGGAGACTGAATAGACTGGGGGACTCTCATATGAAAATGTAGGACAAGCTTTTGTCAAGAAGAGAAATGTATTTGGTGACCTTCCAAGCTCCACCTTTATTTTTTCCCTCCTACTACCATCCTTTTGAAACTTTAACAAACCATTGCCTTAGATGCAGAGTTCTGCTTATTTTGGTCACAGTTATTGCAGTTTCAAAATACTGGTTTACCCTCACTAGCAACTTGTGATATAAAAATAAGGAGAAGCTGGTCATAAACTAACAGTGGTCATCACCTGTGGATACTACCCTCCCTCTCTTCCTTCTTATCTGCAGAAGAAATTGTTCATAGCTCAAAGGCAGAGTGTGCTTCAGGCAGGGAGAAGTAGAGATGGGTTGCAGACTACCATCTGCCTCTTGTTCCAGCCAAAGTAATTCTTTCTCTTACTGTGAAGACTTATACAATTGCATTAAACTTACTTGTTTCGGATCACCTCATTGAATAGAGAGACATCAAGTACAAAATCAGTCACACAGGCTGCACTGAAGCAGCTGGCACCAGCTCTGCTTCTTTTTACTCATCTGCAACTAATTCTATTGCTCAGGATTTATTAGAATAAAGTGAGGCATTTTAAGCATAAGTAGGAAATGCGCATCTCTGTTGCTCAAAGGTTTCTCACGCCTATGTGTATGTTGGACTTCTGCATCTATGTCAGGTCTTAGCTGGAGGATGAAGACTGACACTCTGCATGTGCATGTATGGCTAGCTGCTTGCAAAAGGAACTAAAGCTTTATACTCTGAAACGTGTTCTTCACAGGAGGTGTAAGAGTTGTCAATTCAGGAATGTCATCCAGTTATCAGAATCAAATTTTGCTTGAATGCTCAGGCTCCCCTAAGAGGTTGCTTCTATATTCTCTTGAAGTGATTATTCTTTTTCTGTAGGGGAGACTTCTCTCTCTTTGAAGAGGAATTTAAAATCCAGCCAACATGGGCAAAGGTTGTAGGTGGCTGTTTTGAGAGCACATGGTGTTAAACAGGCCAGAGGCATCTTTCACCAGGGTAGTATAATTCTGAAGTCAGCATGTTTTGTTGTTGAAATAGGAAACTGAAAATTCATCCTGTAACCTCAATGACAAAGCATTTTTTTCAATGAAGATCACAATGGACATCAGTAAAGATGTATTTCACAAAGTTCTTAGCTTGTTTAGTAACTGGCTACTGTCTCAATGACTGAAAATAGTGTGTTACCTAGTATATACTGCTATATCTGAGGATTAAGACAGATATTGACAGATTTTTACCTTGATAGTATATCACAGCATGTCAGAACATATGAATGATTCTGAAGAAGTGAATGAAGTTTGTGTGATTGACTTGAGGGGTAGAAGTTGGCCCTACTCCATGCAGGCTTGTCCCCATCCTAGTTTATCTGAATGGAGAACAACAGGTTCTAGCACGAATTCCTAAGAATTTTTTTTTTGTTCTAGGGATTTATTCAAAAGCTGGTCTTTGAGAGCTGCACCAGTATCACTATATTGGTTGGCTTATCGTGATTCTTTTCACATATTCCTGCTAGAGTGGCTGCGGTTTTGTTTATTTTTTGGAGGCACAGTTGCCTTTATAAGGCACGTGATTATTTAGGGAAGCACATTCGTATGAAGAGATGGTATACTATTTTGCTTATGCTGATACAGTTAGAACAGGACAATGTTATCATACAAAAGTTATATATGAAGAAACCTGCCAAGTAAACCCCTATTTTCACATTGTTTTCTTAATTTTTAATCTGTATGTGTTTGTATTATTTCTTCATTCTTTTCATCACTGATACCATCACTTTTTTCAGAGCCACACAGAGATGCCAATCTTGGCAGGGAGTCAAGAATGCTCGTTAAAATGGTATTAATTTTTTTACCAATTTCTTTCCTTAGAGGCACCGAAACTGAATAAAGTAGAATGTCATCATCATGTATGTTAGTTTCTTCATTTGGAAAGTCTGCATCTGTAACTGATATCTGAAGTTGAAAAGCTTAAGATAATGTTGTTTTGACAAGGTTATAATATGCTGTGATAACTTACTGGAGGTACTGAGGCAGTGGATTATACTAAGTCACTGAAAATTTCTTAATGAATAATTCTAGTTCATATTTGGTGGTGAAATTACTTAAAACTTTTCTTCCAGCTCGCCTTGAAGGGTACTCTGAAATATGTTAGTGGGAGGGTTATGCTGCAGTTACCCAGCACACTGATGCTGAGATAACTGGCAAGACCTACAGTTTTGTGGACATGAGCTGTGTGATGGTTGTGTAGGGTGTGTTTTTTTGTTTTCTTTGTTTTTTGCTGTCCCTTGTGACTGGCAGATAGGAGCACCCAAACAAAAGCAGAGCCTAGGCCTTTGTTAAATTGAAGTGAATGTAACGTTGGAGCAATTTGCAAAAAAAAAAAAAAAGTAAAAGATATTTCTTCAGCCTGAATCTCTGCTGTAGATTTGACAGAGAAAGCTAGACTCTAACCATCTTGGAAGGAAAAGTTCAGGGAGACAAAAGTTCTAGTGTGACGTTTTGTCTCTTGGCAGTTTTTTGATCATATTTAACCTAATGCTTTTGGTCATAAATTGGGGAAAAGAGAGCAGATTAACACTGAATCCAGTGACTGTATGGTCACCAAGTTAGTTGTCAGCCCATTCATTTACCTGTGGCAGTGACAGCTCTTGGAGTTGTTCTTAGGGAATAAATAAGACATGCTTTTGGACTGGCTATGGTTGTCTATGGTATATGCTAAGACTGACATCTTTGTATTGCTCTGAAAAACTGATTGCACCAGTGATGGAAAGAATGAAGGAATAACATAAATGCATAGGGACTGAAAATTGAGACAACAATGTAAAACAAGTTTCCACTAGTAAGAGAAACAAGATGAAAGGGAAAGACTACAAATGCAAAGTAAGAAGATGATGGGGGAGAAATTGTCACTTTAAGTTAGGATCTGAAATTCTAGATGTCTCTCCTTTGTCACTAACTCAATAGATGCTGCTGAGACAAAAACACTGCTTTCAGTAATTCAGCCTAAAACAAGGCTAATTGTGGCCAGCTACTTAACAAAGCAGGCCCAGTCCAGAGAACAGGTTGAAAGTATTTAGATCAACAAATTTATATTCAAGTTATCAGGACCCGATTTGTGTGTTGTAGTTTTCAGGAAAGAAATAGTGTTTTCTTGTTGTGTTTCCAGGGAAATGGAAAGTGCTAGCATAGTACTTAAATTTAAAAAGGTTAATTTGTTGGAACTATCCATCAGTCAAAATGAATTTGTCCATAGAGCTTTTAGAGAAATGTAAACACAGAGGAAAATATTAAGGTGACATAACCAACAGAGAGAAATTTTGGACTGATCCAGGTAACTCTCCCAAAGGGTAGAGGTACAGATACGCTGTTGTTTGCAATACTGCATTTCCTCATTACCAGTAATTGCATTTTGGAACCAGTGGAATAGTTTGCAGGTCTGATTTGGACTCCTGTGGTTACTGCTTTCATTGTTGACTTCATTAGGGCTGTAAATTGTCTCAAGGGATTATTTCATCCCATGTATTCAAGGCAAGATACAGTCATTCCCAATAGCTTTGTGAAACCTATTCTCGTGCCTCAGTTTACTTTTCCCTAAAATACCGTTTCTTTGTTCAAGCATTCTTTTAAAATCATGTTCTTTCAGACCTGTGGTTACTCTTAGTTCAGCTGGAAGCTGTATATGGTGTTTAATTGTTAAACATTTTTTGGGAGAAGCCTCTGCAGGAACACTGAATCATGACTGTGCACAAATACTTCTACCTACAGCGTGCAATATGCATCAAAGTATAACATACATCTAGCTTCCATGGCCAGTTAAATATTGGCGCATTGGGAAAGAGGTTGTAGAGACATTGTAATACTGAACGCTCCTTCCCTTTTTTGATCTCTGGTAATATTAATTTGCAATTTCTGGCTCTTCTGTACAGAAAAGTAAACTTGCATACAGCGTTACTCTAAAAAGATATTTGCGAATTGTCCTTCAAATTTATTCTGCCTGGAGGTGGGGGGGGATAAATAGAGCATTGCATGTCTACAGTGCAGTTGAGGCCATTGGTTGATAATTGGACTCTTTTTTTAAAAAAATAAACCAGCTATGATAGGCTTGAGTGTAAAGAACCAGTAGAAAACAAAGATTTGAAACACATCAATAATTTAATAGCTCATCCTGTAATTCTAGTAACTCATTAAAGCAAGAATTCTTACACTAGGCATACCTGACCCTTGGGTATTTTAAAACCAGATCTGTTCTGATGCTTAAAATTAATAACTTACAGAGACCTCACTGTTACATGTCTGTCTGAATCTCTGTCTTACTCTCTTCTTATAGACTTGGCCTAGAAAGAGGTGCAACAGCTAAAGAAGCATTGGATGTAATAGTTACTCTGTTGGAAGAGCATGGACAAGGTGGAAATTATTATGAAGATGGGAGTTCATGCCATACTTTCCAAAGTGCATTTTTGATTGTGGACAGAAATGAAGCCTGGATACTGGAGACTTCTGGAAAGTACTGGGCAGCAGAAAAAATCACAGGTCAGTTTATCATTTACAGCAAACTTCTCTCTCATAATAAATAGCTGTGAAGAATTGTCTTGGAAGAATTGGTCTTAAAGACACTGAGTTTAAAGAAGTGACTAATTTATGCAAGTGTTTGATTAAATCATGGATTCTAACCTTCTTCTAGATTAGTACTATTATTTTTTTAAATGTTTATTTGCGTTGGCTGATGTAATTTAAGTCTCCAGCTTCACAGAAAATGCTACCTGTACACATAAGCTACATAATAATCATTGTGCTTACATTTTTATCTTTGGTAAATGTTGTATTTTCCCAGATTTTCTTACTGTTTGGAATGTATCAAGTATCTGTTCAGTAGAGTTAATGCCCAAATTGTTACTTACAAGTTTAAAATATTAAGAGGGAAGGATAAGCATTGATAGCTTTGAGAAAAGGGCTTGTGTTAAGTGGTAAATTGAATGGGGTTCTGCTCGTTACTAGAGTCCCCTCATATCCCCATTTCTTATCTGATACTGCAGAACAATACTTTTCTGCTCTTTAAACTTGTGGGTGGTTTCTTTTTTCTGTATGTGTGAAGCCAGAGCTGCCAAACTTCTAGATTTCACTGGCTTGGTGGCTGAACTTATTTAAAACTTTGCTGGCAAATAGGTGCTGCCTTAATATAATATGATTGTCTAAGGCGTATATTTAATTTATTCTCAGTTGGTTTTTGTTTTGAAGTGATTTTTATTTTCATAAGAGTAGGGCTTTAAAAAATTTTCTTACATTTGAATGAATTAAAAATTCATATAATTTAACAGGATTTTTATCTTCCATGCTTTGAGCTATGACGGATCTTTTAACTTCCCCTTCACTGAAAGGTAGGAGATAGCAGAGATGGGGAGGACGGGGGTTTAACTTTGTTGAAAATACCAGAGCAAAGAAATAACACCAGGCTGTGTAATGTTTTGTGATGGCCTACTGTCAGTTCATGCCATCAAATATGGCAGGGATGGCGTTTGCCCAAGCAAAGCTTGCATTTTAAGGATGCCCACAAGATGGAGGAAGTCTTCTAGCACAAACAGATACCAAACATAGAGGAGGGAAGACTGATGATGCTGTCCAGATAAAATCAGAATTCTGGAAAGCAGTTGGCTCCTGAGGTTTGTAGGATTATGCAATGACAGCTTGCCTTCTTCTGTTGACCTACCTGGCTGATATTCGATGAACAGTGTTTCTTATTTAGCCTTTTTAGCTGCATCAGCAATACATAACCTTCACGTCCTTCTTCCCAGCAAATAAACTGGCGCCTTCCTCTGCTGCTTGCAGCTTTTTGAAGTGATACTGCAGCTCTGTTCTGATTTCTAGCAGCTCATTTCTCTTCAGGAGGTCCCTGTAAGCTGCAGATAGAATGGTTTCCATCCCCTGTAGCCTACTGAGGTTGCCAGGAGGAAAGGCTGCTGGCTACGCAAGAACTCTGCATTTCATACTTTCTTCAAGGGGTTCTTTTCTGCAACCATAAGCTTTCAAGTGAATGCACAAATGCTGCTAAAACAGGGAAAATGTGTCATTCCCCACTGTGAAGGCGTTTTTTTTTTTTCCTGGCTCTGTCCTCAGAGTTGTTCTAATATTACTGCTGCAGTTCTGTAAAGCTTATAGTGAATGTTTACCAAGCAGCAGTTTGACAGTAATTTAAGGATAAACACTTTAAAATCCTCCCTATTGCTGTTCTTCAGTCTTGAGTGGAAAAATTTATTTGCTTGAGAAATTTTCATTTTTTTGAGGGGAATCAAAACAATGAAATACTGTTTTACATGAGTTACTAGATGTAATATTTAAAGAGCTTTTAAGGAGTGGCTTGCCTAGCTTGTTACGAACACAAATATTCCTATCCCTCAAGTCAAGAAAATTCCCTGAAGGGTATGCTGTTTGAAAGTGTGAATCAGAACAAACTGTCAGTGAGCTAGTATAAGTCAGAACTGAATGACAGTGCCTTTTTGCAGACTGATATACAGAACTTCCTACTACAAGTTTTTACTCATTTAAATTACATGCTTGAGGCATTACAAAAGCAAGCTTACTTTTGTGGAAGGCAGTATTAAGCACTTTCACAAATACTGCTTTAGTTTCTGTTTAAGAAAAAGTTTTGCAAAATTCCAGAATCTGGTTTTATTTTAGTTTACAGTTTTACTTTACCAGTGGCTTCCAACGCATTTGCTTTATTCTCTCTGAGGAGTATGTGCAGCAGCCGCTGTTAGTCATGCTGTAGATACATGGGTATAAGCACTGCGGTATTTTTGAGAAAAGCAAATTAAAAACCCCTTTAATATTCTTTGAAGGTTACTTACATTTTCTTTTTACTTCATGCTATTTTAAAATTTAAGATTAAAAATGAAGTTTAATTTAAGCCTATCTTGCCGCTTACAATAAAATAGTTTTTCAACTGGGAAGCTTAAAGCAATTGGTAAGTTTTTTAAAACATTTTTGAAATTAAATTTTCAGTTTTGAGTGGCAAAGAAGGGTCATTAGATTAAATGCAGCTTTGATGAAATATATTTTGAAATCAAGTCAGACCTCAAGCCTTGTTGTGGCAGTGGAACACACCATTGGAGAAAAGATTAGGCAGGTGCCTTTGACCACTGTTACTTGGTGATCAGAATGTATGAGGTATGGATTGTGAAACTGGTATTCTGACTAAATAGCACTATTAATCACAAGGCCGTGAAAATACCTAAGTAGGGCACAGAGAACTGAGCACTGCAACCTGCAGTGACTGGTAGTTCTGCGTAAGTGTAGTTATGCCGTCATGCCAAATGTACATCATAACCAATGGTTTAATTTGTTTCCTAATTGAAATTACATTGTCCTTCCAGCTTCTCCCAGAATAACTGTATTAATGCTCTCTCTTAATATGCTCTCTTTTAATATTAATGCTCTCTTTTAATATGCTCTTTCTACAGAGGGGGTGAAATGCATTTGCAATCAGCTTTCATTAACTACAAAAATTGATGCTGAACATCCTGAACTAAGGAATTACGTGAAAAGTCAAGGCTGGTGGAATGGAGACTCAGACTTCAATTTTTCTGAAGTGTTCTCTCTTGCTGATGGCCATTTAGCCTGCTGTTCTGGCAGGGAGAGCCTTGAAAAGCAAGGTGGTAAGTGTTGAACCATCTTTCTGTGTGTGCAGCGGGATTTTCAGTCTCTACTGCTTCCTTTCAGGCATTCTGTCCAGAACTACATGAGACTGAGGAGAATACCTCTACATGTAAACCATGTGGAAGGGAAGACCAGAACTGAAGACTGTCCCTAAACTTGACACTGTTTAGGATGAAGCCTTTAATGTATCCCTCAAGTTTAAGGTTTTAAAACCAGATTGCAATTATAAAATAGCTTTCTTCACTGTTGTTCTGATGTGCATGATGTGGCACTACGTTTTTGGTTTGGTGTAATTACAGTGGCCCTACCTAATACTAAAATAATAGTATTAAAAAATAAAAATGTATGACAAGTTCAAGCTCAATGGATTGTACATTTTGGGAGGTTTGCTTAGGTTTTTGGGGAAGGAATTAAGATGATAGTTTAAGGAAGAGCAATGGTAGTCAGGTGCAAACTGAAGTCCCTTTTTCATTGTCAAGCAGAACAAAATTACCAGAACAGGCAATGTGCCTTCAGTCAAAGGAAGGGTTTATTTCCAGACCAAAAATTTATTAATGACTTAAGTTCACTGCAGCTGGCCAAAATGGCTCTGAAATGACCAGCCTGCAGCAGTGCATAGCTGACAGGTATCTGTTCTTTCATATGTGAAAAATGGTACAAATCATCTTTATATAAAAAGCCCTTTACTATAGATGTGAATTTACTAGATTGTTAGCGTTTTCACATGTTGGCAGATGTCAGGAAGAGTGTAGAGGTGAAGTATTTATTCTCATGCAGAGTTCCTGCTAACTATAGAATTACATGGAGCGTGATTTGTATCTGAGAGGCAGATACAATAATTCTAAAGGTCCAAAGGTGAAATAAACCTGGATTATAGCACTAAAAAGCCTCAGGTCCACTACAGACAGATGCCTATGGCTGCAAATCTTGCAGACTGCTGGGTCATTCTGTGTCTTGTGTTGTAGTGAGGCACCTGTGCATGGAAGGGTGAGTCAGTGCTGGGTTTGAGAAGTTGCTAGGGTAATGCAAGAAAATACGGAGGTGCTGTGCAGAGAAAGCTGTGATAAGACACAGGCAGGAAACAGAATGAGAACAGAGGATTCTTGTAGATAGTGGTTTGGAGAAAATTCTTAGTGTCTATGTCTGCTGCTGTAACACCCTGTGAATGTGAGATGGTGTTTCAAAATTTTGTCTGAGAGCTAAGGGAAATAGGTGAGAAATGGCAGGTCAGTGTGCTCCCATTCTGCCTGGGCTTGGGTAGAGGTAGCTTCTTAGGCAAAAATTAGTGTCTTATGTAAGTAGTCTTGTTCATAGTGACTGCTAAACCAGTATTGCAGACATGATGGCCTTCTTCCTGAAAAATACCTTTTTAATGACATTTCTCCCTACCTAGCAATTGTCATGCCTAATTAATGCTTCTTACTGTTCTCTTTTATTAGCTAAGCAAGTTCATTCTGGGTTTACATTGTTTAAATAGAAACTATTAGCTGTAAATTGTGACATGCCTGTGTTGAGTGTCACTGGTCATATCAGGCCAAAGCCCATTAAGGCTAAAATCCTTGCCTAGGGTCCAAGTCATTGAACACCCAGGAATTCTTTTTTCCCTCCCTTCATATAGGTGACGTTTCTGCGCAAGCTATGATTGATGTCCTGCGTGACAAGGATAGTGGTGTCTGTGTGGACTCTGAATCTTTCCTTACTACAGCTAGCATAGTGTCTGTTCTGCCTCAAGACCCTAGTTTTCCCTGTGTTCATTACTTTACTGGCACGCCAGACCCTTCAAGGTAAGCCATGGCATTGGGGTTCCCTGGGTGCAGAGCAGATGATGGGTTGAAAGTTATTAAACAAACCCTGATAACTGAATTGGAACATGCTTCAAGAGCATGTTCTCATCAGAAATGCAATCAGTAGTTGTTGGTGTGTAATCCGGCAGTGCTGTATTACTGAACTGCATCTTGCTGCAATTCTAAATGGACACCACTGTGCTGAAAAGGCAGATCTGCAACTTTGCCTAAATGCAGAGCTTCTAGATTAAATACAGTTTAGGGAGGACCTAGGAACTACTACTCCAGCATAGTTGGCCTTCCCATACGTTCTTGTTGAGATGATGAGGTGGTTGACCATTTTAGTCACTTCTTATGAATAGGTGAGTGCAAAACTGAAACAAATGAAGTGTCTGAATATCAGAGGGGTTGTTTGCTATAGGTAGCCTTGTACGACATCAAAACGTCAACAGAGCAAAACATCTGCAACTCCCAGGTATCCCAAGTACGTGGTTTTTTTTTTTTTTTATTGGAGGGAAAATTTCCTGTTGGTTTAAATGATGTCTTCTATAGTTGAAAGCAGCAGAGGAGAAAAGGGAACTCGTGGGCCAGATCATCAAAGAACTAATGAATTATCTTGTGTTTTAAACAGAATCCACCTGGGATTCACAGAAATTAAACGAAACCACTTGCAGTTATTCAGGAGATCTGCCAGTTGCATTGAGGTAAAGAGGTTATGGGGAGAAGAAAATGGTGCCCTTGAATAGCTGACAGTCATTCCTATAAGAAGAGTGGTAGTAAGCATTAGGTTCTACCTACTACACAAGTCATCCATGCTAAAGGGACTTTCTACCCACCTTGCATTACGCAACTCTGCAAGTCCAGGTGGCGGCTGGTCACCAGTGG